AACCTAGTTACCAAACTTTCGCGAATGGCGGCTCGGATTTTCGTACCCTGATTTAATTACAAAACATGAAAACATTCTAATACAAAATATTAACAGAAATACTGATTACAGTTTATCTTGAAGAATTACCAACCTGATTATCCATCAAATAAGGTTTAGTGAATTACTAACATCGTCGAGGTCGTGCCAAACATGCAAAATCTTAACACAAGTACTCCATTCATGGATCAACGGATTCAGAGATGATATAGTGAACATATTTCTGTTATAGGTCATAACGTCAAAAGGCCACCCATGACATCTAAACGATTCCATCGATCCTGGTGGTTATAAACATCGAAGCCAAGCATAAATCGATATATATATATAGATCCGAATTTTCCAATTAGTTAACATTAGATTCGGAATTATCAGATGTATCAAAAAAGTAATAATTCTTAAACAGAGATTCGACAATATTTTGCAGATTTTTCAATTTTAACTAAATCTAACATATTTGCTATTTTTTTGGGGGGGTTTTTTGCATAAAGTATAAGAAGTGAATATCTACCAAATATATCACGGTATCGGTACATAACAAAGTGCATCTTTCATAATAAGATAGTTTCTAATAATAATAATAATAAAAATAAGTCATATGTCATAATTTAAAACCAAACGCAACATTGCATAATTTAAGGAAACAAATAAAGCACATATTAAATATGATAAATACTAATTTATTAAGAGTGCTTCGACGTTATCGGCATCGTTCTTGACCAGAATATTCGAGTAGGGGGGATGGCTGTAGATACGAACGTGCCTCCATCCATCAAGGAGTTGATAAACTTTCCACCAGCGAAGAACACACGTAACATCCGTACCAATCACATTTCTAAACCGATCATGGCATTCTATCGCCACTTCTCCATATGCACAACACTTGAGGGTCTTCTTCCTATTTATTAATCAAATAAAAATGTATGTGAATCAATAAACATATTATATCATGATTTCAATAAATATATTATATTATAATTTCAAATAACCAACGATGAAAGAAATCGTACTCTTGATCTTCAATGGTGAATGAGTATCTGTATCCCCCTATGACAGATGGTTCATCGGTCACGTTCGTAAGATCACTCGCCTCGACGATCCGCCCAATCAAAGCTACACGCAAATATCAAGATTTCTACATAACCAAATAAATAACTAAAACCGCAGAACGTTCTGAAAAGCATAACAAACTAAACTTACTTATGAGATAAGAAGTATCATGATATCCATTGAAAATAGCACCAAAAGGTGTAGCGACAATATAGTCATCTTGAGAAAACGAAGACGCTTCTTTAACGATAGTACCATCATAGAACATTATCTTAAAGTCGCTCCTTGTTAGTTTAGTGAATCCCCGAATTCTCCACAACTCTGAAATTCATAATAGTGTAGAATTCATCTTCTTCAATAAACGTTGAATAATGAGAAGTCAACGGTGAACAAATAAGCGCTTCGATCTGATTACCCTGCATCACAAAACCAAAATCCCAAAAGTCGGGAAACCGCAAACATCCATGACAACAAAGGCTAATACATATCTAAAGAAAAGCCAAATCTTATTTCGTTTTTATATACCTTATCATCAACCAGAAGTAACCCTAGCCCACCCTTTGATATATAGTCATCGGTGTGGAAGCGACGCAAAACCTTAACGTGAACATGCCATCCAACTATTGCAGGGTTCAACCGAGAGAAATCGTTGTAACGTTCAATAGAAGACGATGTAAACCGAGAAGACATATCTGCTTCTATGCGAAATTCGTTATGCGGAGTAAGATAATGTTCTGCCCACCAAAACGTTTAACAACAAAGTATATATAGGGAACTAACCTAGACAGGGAAACGTCCCAACCCTTTTATTTTTATGTTCGATTTTCCTTCCTTTGTCACGACACGTACCGTCGCAACCCTTTTTTTGTTTAATAACATTTTGCGTGACATTTTTCATTTTATTTTCTTAGTATTTTTATTTAAAGATGGCAATATCCGATGGAATTTCCTTCTATTTAAAACCCAAAATGTATAATAGAAAATAAAAGTAAAACAAAACAATTGTCGTAAACTGAAAGCCCAAACAGTTAATAAAAGGAGAGAAATATCCTAGAATCAAACTAACGAATGTTCTGGAATACTTCGTGATACACAACATTTTTAGTAGTCTTTTGAAGCTGTCCCCTATCATCTGTTATCAGTATCTTGAGGCCTTTCCTGGATGTAACTCTCGAAAGTGCAACGTACAATTGCCCGTGCGAAAAGACAGGCTTAGGTAGATACAAACCTACATTAGTCAAAGTCTGACCTTGACTTTTATTAATCGTCATTGCGAAAGCAACCGCAATCGGGAACTGACAACGTTTCATTCTAAATGGGAACTTCGTCTCGGTGGGACTCAAGTACATTTTAGGAATCACAACTATGTCTCCAACTCTCGTACCGGTAATAATTCTAGCTTCTATAACCTGATTCGCTAACTGAGTCACTTGTAATCTTGTACCATTACAAAGTCCATTCTTAGGATCAATATTCCGTAGAACCATGATTGGAACTCCGACTTTCAATACCAGCCTGTGATTTGGCAACCCCGAGACTTTGATGCTGTTTAAAAACTCGGGGGTATAAACCATATGATCTCTTTTGTCCGCATCCGATAATTCAATACTATCGCAACTAAGATAGACTCTCTCTTCACCTAACAACCCCGGGGCGTCAACATGAATGAAAATTAAAATAATAAACAACATTAAATCTACTACCAAACTAAAATAATAAACAACATTAAACATACTCTAGATCAATATATAAAAGTTTTAACATTAATGTTTTACCTTCCATGTGTGATAGCGCATAGTCGTTGATCACGCACACGTCATTATTTCTCGGAGTAAGAATAGCCCTTTCTTGGAAAAAAGAAAGTTCCTTATCCTTGACCAACGTTGACCCATAAACATTATGTACGATGGCTTTGATAGGATCACCACATTTAGAAATCAGCAAATCATCAGGAATCTCCACATCAGCATCGCCATCGTCTGTAACGTTGATTGTACCATCTCCTATGTCAAGAATCCATTTTGCAAAATCTCTGAGTTCCTGTGCAGCATCATCCGAATTACCATCTAAAAGTCTCATGTTCTTGGTTAGCCTCAACAGTCTGCAACTTTCCCAGATATACGACGAATTAATAGTGGCCAAAACGGTTTCCTCTCTACCTGCACCACTGATTACTGGCAATATTGTCTAAAATCTCCTCCAAAGACAATTGTTTTACCGCCGAACGGCCGATCAGTATTACATCTCATAACATCGCGAATACTACGATCCAACGTCTCAAAACAATGTCTGCTCATCATAGGAGCCTCATCCCATACAATTAAGCTAGCATGTTTTACCAACTCACCGAGATGGGATGATGGTTTCATCATACACATACTAAATTCATCAGCCGTTAGAGGTATCGAAAATCTTGAATGTGCAGTTCTACCTCCAGGCATCAGCAAAGATGCTATCCCGCTCGACGCTACATTAAGAACAATAAGTCCCATAGACCTTAAAGCAGCCGATAAAATACTCCAGACGTACGTTTTGCCTGTGCCCCCGTATCCATATAGAAAAAAGACACCGCCTTTTTTATCCAAAACTGCCTGCATCACTTCATCGTAAACTATTTTTGTTCATCTGTTATCGTCGCTAGGAGTCTCACGTGGTCTTTCGCTTCTTTTTCGTGGTTATAACCAAGCTCATCCAACAACAGCCGATTTGTACTCTTATCAAGAGATATATCATCCGGCTGCGGAAATCCTTCGATAGTAGACAGAGTCTTCCCGTTATCCCGCAGCAAGAGTTCAATAGACGCCAACGTGAAATTTTTTATTTGTTTATCAGAAAGCGTCAAAGCTGCAAACCACACGAAACATGCTATTATGACTATTCAATTAATAAGACAGCTATATATGTTTCATAAACAATAGAGATGATCCACCTACCCGGATTCCTCGTACACTCTTCTACGTTCGAATAAGATACCTTCCGACAGTAGATCACAAGTCTCCTCCCAAACTCGCAAAGGATTTACTATATCTCCGGCGACGATCATCATCACAAATAATTTTCGCAAGGGTAAACCTTTCACGAAATAACTCGCTTCTTTTATAGCATCTATAAATATTCGGTCGTCTGCGAGCAACCCCAGTGCATTGCAAGCATCAACAAACTCGGGATATATAATGCCATTTACCGTTTTGATGTCATCGTAAGACGTAGGACCTGTCACAGAATTTAACAGGAGCCTTAGATAATACTTGTTTCCAAGGGAAGGAGAGACATACATAATCCTTCCTATCGAGAATCCTTTTACTCGGGGTTTCCAGACACGCTCTCTGCTTTTCCAAACAAACTTAGATGGAAAATCCGCATATGTCAATTTTTGGCTTCTGGATACTCTTTGTTACATTCCATCCAAGCCAAGAACATTGTACGACCGATAGATTTACGACTTATAACCTCATCAACAGGATCATTCGGATCGAAAACAACAACCTCTTCACCAGGAAGATGAAATGTAAGTTTTTCTACTGGTGTAGACCGATAATGTGTAGCAAAAGCTAATATTCTCCAAGTGGCCTCGCATGCAGATATATACCTATAAACGAAACGACATAAAAATAATGAGAACGAACGACATAAAATAATGAGAATGAGGCAATAATTTCAAAACTCCCAACAATAGCATTTAGTTTAAGATGATAACATAACATTTTATAAACAATTAGTATCATTTGGCACCTGCATGTATAATACTGCTTTATTTCGTCATGGACTTCCTCTTCTTGACCATCTTTTTGTATTTTTGCTCTGATATAATCGGGTCCCTTGTGGATATACTTGAAGAGATATTTGATAGATCGTAATTGATTGCACCACTCGACATTAATATGAGCACGATACCTTTTCGATAAATAAGCGTTATATGGAACGATGTACCTATTATCGACATTAAATTTTTGCTTCACGATGAATTTGCCATCCGCCCGCCGTCTATAAATAGGATACCCCTCGTCATCAACCTTAGTCTGATCACTATAAGGCCTAGGGTAGTATTTGGTGCATCTGCCTTTTTGCATACACGGACAGCTGGGATTAACAACTCCGCACGGACCATGCACCATCATATCTGCTACAACTTCATACAAAAACGGCTCTAACTCTGGATCAGGAATTTCTGCACTAATATGTTTATCAATATCATCAGTAGTTGGCAGTTTTGATCCTGGAGCTAGGAACAGGACCATATGTGCGTGTGGTAGACCCCTTTTCTGGAACTCAATCGTGTATAAAACTGTAAAACATACAAAAAATTACAGAATAAGAGGATAAAAATTTATGATTCTAAAATTCTATATATAAAATAATAACACATAATTTATGCGAGACACAAATATCGCTATAAAAGTTTGGTCAATCTTACCAGAAGAGACAGTTCCCAGCTTCTTATTATGGGTAAGATCATGAATGAGATTATCGAGTTTCAGCTTAAAAATCCTACAACAGATGTCGGGCCTATCCTCGGGTTTTAAGTTGTATTTTTCCAGATACCTAGTAATCTCGGGCCACGCAGGATTACAAGTTATAGTGATAAATAGATCAGGAAAGCCATAATACTTGCAAGTAGCCATCGCATCAAGATAATGCTGCGTCTTGTACCTAGGCCCTCCGGTGAAAGAAGATGGTATCATAATTTTATTGCCTTCTCTGGAAAGATTTTTCTTTCCTTTCTTAGAAACTTTAAGAATCTCTGAATAGCTTTCACAGCGGAGATTTTTCTGGTTAAAAAACAAATAACGAAGCCTGTTGCTTTCGATCATCGTATACGCATCAACCAGAAACTGCTGATATAATCTCCTGGACATAACAATCGTAGGAGATTCACCTCGCCTCGATTGAATGCGATACGCAAAGAATTCTCTCATCGTCACCTTTGTTCTTTTTAGACCGCCTTTATCGATGAATCCAATGTCGATACCTAACCTAAATCCATCCTCGCCGTAAGGAAAAAGCAAAGGATACTGTAGAGGGAGGTAGGATGGGTGCAGCTCACTTATACGCTGAAACCCTCCAGAATTAGCCTGAAGCACTACATCACGCGGTTTAGGGTTTATATCTCCCACGATAAGCCCAGCAACCTCGTCAGTCGTAGGTATATTTTGTACTCTACCGTCACTATCTCGATGATTTTTCAAAATCAACTTAAAGCCGCTGGTATCTTCACATTGTGCTAATCTATCTCTAGCTGATCTAAAGGCGATGACGTGTGGGTTGTTAGCATCTAACATATCCTTTAAAGTCTTAACGATACTCTTCTTTATTTGCTTACCCGGTCCTTTTTCGCTAAAACAATTAAAAACAACAAAAAACGGAAATTAATTCGTGGACATAATATAAAAAGTATATTACAATAAACAACTCACCCCATAACACCCATCCTATTCGAGACTTCGTTTACGGTATCATGAATATAGAGCTGCGAGAAAGCAGGACTTTTGGAAGGGCCAGGCAAAAGTTCACCGATGCGATGATAATTTTGACCATGCATGCGAAACACATACGGTGCATTCCCATGGTTCACGGAATTATCAATTTGACCACCAAGCGACGTGAATGAGAACATCATATTGTATGCTCTAATTAAAGCACGGAAATTTTTGCTTGTCTCATCCTTGCCATACAACATCGACATAAGCACCGGTGGAGGATTTTTTAGTTTAGGCAGCTCCACTTTACCCTTCATGCAACACGTAGAAAATATAGGCCTATTTTTAGCTCCACGTTTGTTAATACGCTCGCCAAACCACATATAAGCACCGCAATTCTGACAGGTATAAAACGGATCTCCATCATCAAAATAACCTGACACAAGAAGCACTCATGTACACAATAATATCAATTATATTTTTTAAAAAATATCAAAAAACAACCATAGTAAGTACCGTTTTCTGTTAATCCAGGTTTCACATTTACGATCGGTATGGATCCAAACCCTTCCTGTTCCATAATACACTCATCGGCGTTATCGAGATGTTCAACAAAATCATAATCCATTGCATTATCGTCGTCTGTTTGGTCCTCCCTATCACCATGATCAGAATCCGAATCGGTTGCGAGGAAATGCACGTAATCATCTTCGTAAATCGGCAACACCAACCCTTATATATAGCATTTTTTTCTTTGTTAATCACACGTACAATTTCGAGAATAAAAACTTAATATAAAAAAGCTATCGTACCGGTTTCTGGTGGTCTTGTCCTCGCTTTTATCCGTCTTGATTTAAGGATTGCTACACGACGCGCTCTCGCACGACAACAAACATCCTTAGGAGGTCGTGAATTTAATAACGCACGTAATTCATCAGATATCATGTTTTCATATGCCGCGATAACACGTGTTCGATTAATCGACTCCATGCCTAGAAATTATGAATATTTATTAATCACAAAGGAAAATATAATATGTCACTACAACTTAATTACGCGTGTGTGGGCGTTTTTATTAATTAAATTAATAAATTTTTTAAAGATAATAGACTTAACCCGATAATCTATTACGGCAGGCAGTCCTTCGTGCTCTGAGTTTCTCCATACGATAATTTCTTGCCTTTTTCGCACCATCTTTGGGTACATCGAGCAAATAGTCGAAGTTGTTATTATAAACACGGCGATGTATACGTCGATGATCACCTTTGGACGGGCATAATGAAAACAAATCAGAGTGATAGACAAGAATGTTTTATAAAAAAGGATTATGGTTATACGACAACATAAAATATATAACGTATGCAAGCTTTGCGATCTTATTTCTGACCTCTACCACGTTTCATTGTCTCCAAAACCTAGAAGATCGTGAACACAAAGGAAACCAACGGAAAATTTTATATAACAATAATCTACTATGGTATTCTTTAATAGAACAACTGGAAATATTATATTTTAATATTGCGATATATATTACTAATCAATATATTTTGTAGATATACTCAAATTTTACTTTTTATAATGATTGTATCCAAAAAAAAAGAAGGAATTTTATAGAATATTTACTTTAACAGCAAACGCATTTGGTAATACCCATACATAACTTTGAGAGAAGATGAAAATCTCACGGAAATAAATATAAAATGTAAACCGAAAACTGGAAATATTATATTTTAATGATATGTTATATAGTATTAATCATATATGTGATTCGAGCACAACGAATTTTACTTTTTAAATTAATCTCAACTCATAAATACAAGTTATAATGACAGAAATTTATTTTTCCATAGCTTGTTAAACCTCACAATTATGGTCCTAAAATATCACTTGAAGATAAAATGAATAGATAACATGACCGTGAGATCTGTATAAAATCCTAAGAAACCATATAGCAAACGAAAGTAGCTACTCAACATACAGCAGCTATCATGCATCTCACATTATAGGACGTTGTTTCATCTAGCATAAGTTGTTTGACGGTCAACGAAGAAGAACCCATGTGTTTTAACTATCGCGTTTTATGGTGCTTAAAACTCATTGCGTAATTATAAAGATACACCGTCAAAAAAAAAAAAAAGTTAAGAGAACGCAAGACAGGAATAATAAAATAAAATCTTCATTGCAGCGTTAATAGATCAAAACACCGTCTATAAAAAATGTTCTATTATTTTGCCGAAACAAATATAATCTTATAGAGAGAACCAACCAGAAACATAGTTTATAAAACCCTAAAATAAACAAAAATAAATTAAAACGATGCAAACAATCTAATCTATCTTAAGATTGTTAAACTGATCACGCATCTTATATTCCAACGAAGGATCACATGTAGGACCACCAGCTAAAGCGACTCTCTTCCGTAATTCCGCATAGACATTGAACGTAGAGTTTTCCTTACGCATAAATGTCTCAAAGTTTTGGATTTCATTGTAGGCATACTCCGGCTCTAGAACAAAATAATAAAATATTAGCCATCTGACGATATTTGTAAACACTGGCAAAAACTAACGGTGTACATTTACCATGATCGTTAAAAATAATTTGTTGTGGAAACAACACATCTTTAAACAATACATCCCAGGTAGCATCCCAGACCGACAACGGATCTGCCTCGCAGAAAACACCCATCAGCATAACAAATAAACCACGCAATCTATCGACCGGCAGCACCCACGAAGCCGCTTGTTGGATAGCTACGATGCATTCATCCGTCTGGCTAATATGGGTTGAGTTAGTGTTTTGCTTGTTAACCTGTCCGATCAAAACATTCACGTATCAGTAATCAATAAACATCATTGTTATTTTCGGAAAGAGAAAGCCAACTCAACGCAGAACCAATAAACTATATCAGACCAACATCAAGTAAAAATACTAACGACTACCTCCATCTTTTCAACACGAGCGTTCGCAATGATTAACACAAGAATGCATGTATTATTTATAGACGTATATATAAGCTAAGTATTAGGGTACCCAATAAGACCTATATTTTTACGTAAAATATTGAGCCACCGAAAACCAAGGAAAATAATATTTTCTATTATGGAAGATAACAAACATACCACTATATTAATAGGAGATATGATCAAATCTATCAATACCTAAAATGTTAATTCTAACATATTGTTACACATACAGTATTTATCCGTATATATGTTTTTATATATGGGTATGTCGCATGTCAAAATAAAAAGAAACATTCTAATTCCGTCCAATATTTAATATTTTAGAATTGTTAATGTTACATATCTCAATACAACAGACCTACCAATTTATACGTTGCTCAAAGAAACGGCCGGGATAGCAACATACGTTAGTAAACCATATAAGCATAATATAAAACGTGCAAATATATAGAGTTCGTGAATGCTCACATAACCCTAACTAATTATAAATCAGCATGCTAAATCAGATACCAAATATATCACAAATAACGTGAAACTGTTATATACGACATAAAACGAAATCCAATATTTTATAATAATACATATATAATAATATCCACGTTTTGCTAAACACATGTTACCTACATGCGACTCTTAATCTATAACAATATTCCTAAGTGAATACATTGGCGTCAAACAATAACACCTAACACATATCTTTAGTGTAATCAAAAATGCATGTATTAGTTGCGTATAGAATATATTCAGACCAACGAAAACACTTGCACGTGTATAAGCAGAAACGTCGCGTTTGTCGTTTGCCAAACAACATCAGACCGATCATAGAAAACGAAAACGACAATATCTAAATATGACACTCGAGAAGGTATAAAAAAAAAAAAAAAAAAAACAAATAACGAAAACACCAAATAACATCCAAACTCAGTCATAACAAAAACGAATATAAAGTCGCATAATGTATTATAAAGTCTGCTATGAGATTTAAATATAAATAAAACCGCTAAATCTAGATATATATTAAAAAAAACAAATTCTTCTTCAAGATGTGGCAAAACTCTCTTGTTTCTTGTCCTCGATTTTGATTTTCTTCGCAGGAGGTTTCGTATTCTCGGCGGATACACCGCCACGGCGAACATTGGCCTCCTTTGTAATAGGCGTTACGGGCAAAGGCACCAAAACCTTAGAAACACCAATATTAAGTAAATATAAAGCAAAACACCGAATATTTAGTAAACTTAAAACATATATACAGTTTCTTATAAACAGAACAACCCAAGATACAAAACACGAACCTCGGAGTCTAGACCATCAGAATAGTCTTTAATCAGCTCATCATCATCAGAAAATAACTGAACCACGTAATGCGACCGATCCGATTTCAGATTATCGCCACCTATACTCACTTTAAAAAGAAACCGCCTCCCGACCAATGCCCCAATCTCCGAGGGAAGTATAGAGGGGTCATTCTATCATTAAACCACGCAAACAGATTAAACATACAAACAAATAATCGTTAAAAATATAAATAACAACCCAACAAACAATAGCAACAGCGTATCCATTACCTCAGAAACTTCATTATAGAGCTCCTGTGCAGTTCTACGAAGGAGCGTACTACCCATTGCATCAAACAACAAAAACCTTGCCTTGTAGTTAGTTGCATCAGAAACCTCCAGAACCAATCGGTATCTAAAACAAACAGTTATTCCAGAACAAATAATGAACAACCGAGCTCCAAAACTACACACACCAACATAGTATAATGGTATTAACATGCACAAGACGGCATAAACAATGCATTCAAAAGACACGATCACCTGAACACTACCGCAGAGACATCCTTGTCACAAACGCCGCAATAGTAAAGAGGTGGTTTTCCATCATCACCAGAATCTTCTGGATAAGGCTCGACACTCTTATTGCACATCTTACACGAAACGTAATACCATTTCGTCGTTCGCTCGACGGATCCAACAGTGACCATGGTCACACACATACCCTCCTATAGATTTTAGAGACCAGACTTAAAATACCAACCAGTTCTAAATCACAAACAAATATTTTTTTTTTTACATTTTAAAACGTATGAATATAAGGAATAACGCATAAATTTATGGTGTCTACCTCTAACGCCTCGACTATATCTCGGACAGTTCGTTTATGATTCTTCACCAAGAATTGATCACGTATCGATACAGTTGATCCAGCAAACAATTCACTATTGTCATGATTAGTCAATACCACGCCATCGGTTGGTAGCCTACAAAAAGAATTCTATATTAATATCTATACAGACATATATAATAACACAAAACATAATAAATAAACAATTATAGGTCTATTACCCCGATCTGAATCCATCAACAAAAACGCCTGGAGGATCGAGTAATACACGTGTTGCGCCCATAGCATTAGATATAGTCCAATTACCTAAATAAGTTAACAATTGAATTTAGAACAGTCATCGGAATATTTGAAGTTTATTCGACCAACATATATACCTTTCCACTCCTTGACCTGAGCACACCTAATCACACAAACAACAGCCGCTGGATTTGCTTCAGTATAAACCTTAACTTGCTTAGCAAAATCCGCCCATAGAGTACACATTAACCGTACGTTCCTGATTACGTGATAAACACGTTTAAAAAACGAAACATACAGAAAACCAAACTCTTATAATGACTGATCATAATTAACATACCCACGATCACGCAACTCGACGTCGAGCTTTGGAGTACTTTTTCCTCTGATTTTTATATCCTCGATCGGTCCAACGTTGACAATCTGACCAATAACATCTACAACAATACGTATCGTTATTTAGCTTGACAGCGATAAAGATAAACAAATACCAAACTAATTAAGATATTTTGTTTAAACCAGACCTACCAACGAAAACACGCGTGTCTAGTGAACCATTTAAAACATCACCAAATTCCACAAAATACTTCTCAGGGACTTCCTTTGGAAAATCATCACATGGTTTGACCTGGGTTGTTCGGTAAAACAAAATCTTGAAAGAAAGACTGTTGCTCTTATAATCGCCAGAGTACTTGATGAGCTTGAAAGGATTCAAGGTAACGGCATCACCTTCTTTCAGGACACCGTCGAACTTTTTGATATTTTTGTCCTCAACAGTTGCATGGATTCTTGAACCCTAATTAAAACCAAAAAGAGAATATGCTTAGCATACTTATACGTTACAAAAACAAAGCAAACACATGATATAGAAGACATAATATCAAATAATAATCAAATCATAACCTTTTCATCCACCAAAACCATCTCGATTGTGTTGCCCGCATCTTTCTGATACGCCTTCCACAGCCTCAAGATTAACACCTTAATCTTATACTGATCGTGAATAGGATTGATATCATCGATGAAAGTTAGTGAATTTTTGCTTTTTCTGCTTGACGACATTTTCAACGCACAAAAGTATAATATCTTAATAGATTTCGTTAATGTCGAAAGCGAGCAGTAGATCCTATATATAGCCATAAAATGTTTAGGGTTTAACCGACCTTTTCGAATAATAAAGAATAAAATTTAATAATTATGGATATTAACAAAATCGAATTAAGAGATAAATGTAAATCTTCGATATTAGCATATAAAATTTCCTGGAAATATTTTAACTTTACCAAATAGTTATAGATATTTTCGAATCCAATGCGTAGATAAAAACCGCAATATTTACTTTTATCGTCCCGATAAATCATAGATTAAGCATGTTTACATTTTTGTGACAAATCCATAGTTTTATTTTCTGTAAACAAAGTCGATAAGAGTAAACTTGCAATGGAATCCAATTACAAAAATATTTATGTATTATGTTATTAATCTAAACTAACGAAGGTGTAAGTCCTTTGTCACTTTCCAGTTTTATAAAACGCATACACTTTGAAGCCTATGACTAAAGAAAAGAATCCTTTAATATTGGTCGCAGCCTCAACGAAATGATCAATTTAACATATATATAAAATATTATTTTAAGCCTCAACGAAATAACAAATTCGATGTAAATTTAAATGTTCTCGCTGACGAACGTATCACCGTCAATATATGATCCACAATAAGAACGTAACTTTAGAATAAAAAATAAACAAAACTAAGAGATAATTGTGATCCGCATAATAGAGGTATCGCTGAAACAACTCTGTTAAAACGTAACGGAAATTGAAACATAATAACTTTAACATCCACCACCGGAGGCTATAAATCCTTCCTTCTTCTTCAAGATACCCAACTACATGTTTTTCTTGACCCTTCACAATAACACCGAAGCGTAGGAATTAACAATATTATAGCCCAGACACCCAACATCATAAATCTAATTATACGGAAAACTAAACTTACAATTCATCGAAGCATTCCACTCCACGGATATCTGGATTAATCTCAATACGGGTACAATCTGTAGCATGTATGGCCACATCACCTGCACTCGATCAAACTAACTATTTAACATGCTAACATCTATAACAAACCCGACCATCTTATATACTAAGCAGGCAAAACAAACCTCCATAACAACGAATAAGTCCCCATCTTATTACACAAATAACAGCACCATCAGCTTGCTCTTTAAATGTATCGTAGAAAGTCATAGCGACTTTACCAAACAGGCGGCATCTCAACATAGCATTCCTTCACACGTAAAACGGTACATGTGTAAGGATATTAATTAGTATTTATCCCCTAACTATTATAAAAAAATTGCACGTACCGTCTGTCACGTAGATAGAAAGAAACTGTGCGATATATGCTATCATCCTCATCATAACCAAATTCCCCATACGTCTCTTCCTCTTCGTATTCTCCTTCCCCTTCATCGTCATCTACATCTTCTTCAACTTCTTCGTCTCCGTCGGTGTCTTCTTCTTCTTCTTCATCATCGTCCTCTTCGTCATCTTCACCAAATTCGGATCCTAGTCTTCCATGGCCTTGATCGTTTATTCCTCCTACTTCTTCAAGTAATTCTTTATAACCACCAGTAAGAGGACGAAAACGTTTTGTGGATGGAAATCCATACACATCCTCGCTAGTACGCTTCAAGGAGCGATTAGGTTCCTTGTTTTCCACGACTAATCTACTCTCGTTGTATCTCTCCAACCTATCTAGTAAATAATCATAGTCTGGTATAACTTCATCAGATAAAGGGACGCCCTTATCATTAAAAACAACAGAACCCTCATGTAATTTCGTTCCATTGGTTTCAGCTTCGATATTAGAAGTTTGGACATCAACAACCTCTCCAATCAAGTCTTGCACAACGGAAATATGAAACGTCAATAAAACAGTGAATATAACAGATAACATGTTAAGACACAATAAGAACCACAAATCTTACCAACCAAAAAGTCGTCAGAATATCTTCGGTCCAAGATACTTCCAAAATCAACAAAATCAAAAAACTTATTGTTATCGATATCAGGTATCTTGACAATCGTAGTGTTTTTCAAAAGAATCATCTTATAGCGGTGCAAGGTTGCTCTGCAATCCCCAGTCTGATGAACAACTTTAAAGTCCTTAATCCGAAACCAACCACCGCTAACTATTACAGACACAAATTTATCGTAAACCTCTCCCCATAGAGAGCACTGTATCTTGTTACCCTACAACGAACAAATCCATAAAAGTAAGATCCAAGAGCATCAGCTTATAAAAAAACAAAACATTATAATATAAACAAACCTCACGATCCGCGAGAACAAACTCTAAACGCCTGCCACTGTTTTCTAGACGCCGTGTCCACGAACAAAGAACCTTGGTTTCGACAACCCACTCGTACTTGGAAGGATTCAATCGCCAAACACTATCATATGTTTTGGAGGTAAACATGACGACGATTATAACACGAATAAACGCGTAAGGGACTATATATTTATATGCTATGAATGAAACAAAAAATACCTAATCTACGAATAACTCGAATATTTATTTATATATGAATTTTATAAATTATTCGATAAGGTTTCCGGGGATTTTCTATTTAGGTATAAATTTAACTAAATAAATATTGCTAACAACGCATATCGTTATTAATTTAATGATTATATATATACATACCTCATTAAGATTGTTCATTGCAAAAGCAATTCCAATCTCAATATCCCAAGAATAAACAACAGACACAGTCTAATTTTATCGATACTATGCATTTTTTTTTTAATACGATGTAGTTTTCGTTCGTGAGTAATCCAATATATAAATTAAATCTGTTTTATTTTAATAACGTTAAAGATAAATATCCAAAATAAAATAATGTGTATGACCGATAGACCGAGACGATAACATAACGTAAAAACATCTATAAGGAGATAAACTAAAATATAGATCTATGGTCACGTTCAGTCTTTAATCTTCTGTTTCTTCGCAACCGGACCGTGCTTGATCGAGAAGCTACAAAAAGCAAACAAACAATCGAATAAAACATGTATCAACAGGAAAAAAGCGATGCCCATCAGCATTCCAAGCAAATGAGTAAACCTCAAACAAATATATAACGTACAATGATTTCATTTTTTTTACACCCGGTATCGAAGGATTCAACAGCAGTTTCGAACAGCGCACCCCTGAGCATATCCACATGCCTACGGATTAAATTGAAACCACACGTTAACCATGATTAACCGATGTTTCTAAACTATTTCTTCTATGCTACGTACCTTCCCTAAACTCGACACGGACAAATCGCAGTACACATATGATAACATCGGATGGATCAGTCATCCACAAACGATAAAGAGGTAAAGCATCCGTAATGCTTAAAACACATCTCAAAACTCTCTCACTGCGTTATATAGTTTAAATAAATCAGATCGATAAATAATCAACTCCTTCTGTGTATCAAAGTAGCATAATTAATGTACCTTGTATCCTGGAGATCAAAGACTATATGTTCCACCTGATCCTCATACACGTGACAACCAAAAGAGGTTATTTTACTAACGTTAATGGCCTTTCCGATGATATCTGCATGAATAAAAGCGTCGGTCGAAATATAAAATCGTAACACTAATTTATAAAAAAAAAGAAACAACTGATAAAAACCATACCAACACAAATGGACGTATCATGCGACCCATTTAGGATTATCCCAAAATCCACGAAATCATAGAAACCATCACCTGATCTCTCCTGCAGAGTATCGCATAATGTTTTTTTATGAAATACCAGCTCAAATCTATGAGCAACAGGCTTCAACGCATCCACGACAGGTCTCAAAATAAAATCTGTTATCACTATCCATCGGTTCTCCACGATTCTCGACGAAAACTGTGGCATAAGCTCCATAGGTATGATACCGTGGATTTTCCCACCCTGAGATACGATATACACAACACATGATTACACTACGACTTATACATGCAAACTATACTAAAAAACAATAATCCACAGAACATGAGTTATACCTTATCATCGACCAACACGACGTCAACCGTCGAATAATGATCGTAGTACTCTTGCCAAATAGCAAGAACCTTTGCGCGAATACGCCACTCGCTGGTATCAGGATTCAGCTTCGAAAGAGGATACGGCTCCATCCGTAAAAATACAAAATCCCTAAGTCGAGGCAGAGCGAAGATATATTATAACTTGGATGATAAAAGAAAAGAGAACGATGCCAGTATTTATATACTTTTTTCGTGATATCTCCACCCGAAAATACATGCATATATATCACCAACCGTGAATAAATGTTAACAAATATTATTAAAAACTTATTCGGTTTTATCTCTATAATAAGTTAAAGGTAGTTATCATTTTAGCGTTCCAAAAAAAAGGGAATTAACATTCGTATTTTTACAAAATAAGGAATACGACCTTATCGCTACAGAATATTAAATATTTTATAAACTAATATCCCGAAAGACGAAATCTAACTTTACGATATTATATAGATCTGTTTTAACATATGTGATTAGTTGACATTTTACAGAACCATAAATGCATGGGCCAGAGCCCAATAACGAAACTGATAATTTGCCATATCGTGGACGACAAATCGAAAGTATTATAGAAAATATACAAAACCGGTTAAGGTAGTTACCATTTTATAGTTCTTAAAAAAGGAAATCAAGATGTGCGTACAGAAATCAACATGTGGGTTAGTTTACAATAAGAATACGACCATATCACTACATATTAATGTACTTATTGTTGATAAATATCCAGTTTATTTGTGAAATTGATACCTCAGCATTATAACGTATAGATTTTATACATGTGAAAATTAACATTTTACTGAATCTTACGTTCATGGGCCAAAGCCCAACTACGGAATAACAGTTTGTCATTTGTCTAAACAATCCGAACGTATTTGGTGGCAAAATAAACCGAACAGAAAGGGAAAAAATAATAAATCTCCCACCAAAAAAAAAACAAAGAGGAAAGTTATCTGATCAACATCCAACAAAGAGTAAATCGTAAATCAGACAGAAGAAACCACATGGTTTCTTGTAGTGCGCCGTTCCATAGATTATTACAATTATATTAGCGCAAGTAATAGCACAGATGGATGACACGATGTTTCGATAACCATCTACCAATTACGCTGAATTGGTATCCCCCAGTCAATCTCATCTTCACTCTCCGGATCAGCCTTTTTTTTATAAAACTGGCTTGTGAATTTGGCACTACACACAACAGAAGAGCAAGAAAGTCAGAGTCAATAAAATCAAAACAAACAAAACCAGTAATAATAATAATTTTATATGATCGGACAAAGAGTTATAAGGAAAAGTACATATATATCTCATCTTCAAGTTCAGCAATTTCAGGATCCAGTAGGAGCTGCGAGCACCCATCTCCACTGGTAACACATCTTTCGGCTATACGAATAAGAAACGATGATTTTATATATCAAACGACTAAAACAAAACACTAACAATATAAAAATAATCGATGGTAAATGCACGTTACATACCTTCTAATCCAGAGATCATCCAAAACCTTAGCACACAAAAGACCGTAGACCCACGTACTCTAATGTCATAATTTGCCTCATTCCACATCTTTGTTAGCTCAGTGCAATGATTCTTCATTGCACAACAGTTTATCACCGTACCTCTTTGTACACAATAAAACTAAGTATTAATTAAATTCTTAGATCACGCCATACACAAAAGTAACATCGATTTACACTTACTCTGCATCAACGATCTGAAAATTGCGATAATTAGGTTGTTTACCAACCTCATCCCAGTTAGCAACATAAGGAAGTCTTTTAACCCTCGAGATCCTGATGATGACTCCATAAAGGTCTGAAATAAAGATACAACATATATAAGAATTAACGGACTACGGACAATATTATGAGATAAATCGAGTACATTACCAACAGGAAGATCAAGTTTGAGATTTCTCCCCTCAATGATATCTGTGTACGATATAAAATTAAAGAAACCAGATTCTTTTTTTCCCAAAATCGGTTCAATTTTAGTTTTGCAAGTGAACTGGATTATATAAGGACAAGCAGTGTTCCTCAAGACTTCTGGATTAGTAACGACCCTAAAATCTTCAAAAAGAAACCAACGGCCCTGCTCGAGAATCTTCTCGAACCTCTTGGAATAATGAGGATGGGGAACAGTTGACTCAATCTTAACACCCTAAAATTTCAAACAGATTTGAAATTAAATTCAAAGCTTGCGAACAAAATTACCAATAAAGTAAGAAAATTGATGTTATAGATGGAATACCTCCTCGTCAGCTAGTATCATTTTGCAAACACGGCCGAGCCTATCCTCGTTAGGGATCCACAGAGCAAGGATCTTAACACACACAACACACTTATCTTGTCCGACGTTTAGATCAGCAAATTTTAATGTAGCAGCCATGTTCATAAAACACTGATCTTTCGTTTTCTATAATTTAGAGATCAAAAGGAGATAAAAACACATATACCAAAAAAAGCACAAATATATTTAAAGTTCAAACATCGTGTGTTTATTTTAAAGGTGTTATTGCCTTATCAGAACTGGAAACTTACTATTAATGAACAGTAATGTGCTATCACATACATCAAAGAGGAATTTATTGATTGGCTGTTTATTTAGGCTTTTTTTTACTCCCAAGAAGATTGATTTTGCACGAATGACCGTTGATTTTTTTAATAAAATTTTATTATTCAAATAAACACATCGTGTATACAGTGTAAATGGTTCAAATTAATTAACGCTATAGTGATAAAGCATAATTTTCATACAAGATTTTCCATTATCCAAATCCGATCGTTTTTAGAAAATTAGAAACAACAAAGATAGAAATTAAAAACAACAAACATTTAAGTTAAACAGGATATCCAAAGTTGATCCCTTTCAAGCACTGCTCCGGAACACATGAACTTCCTCTCAGTCTCTAGACCGCGAAGAGCCTTTCGAAGCAGACGACCTACAACGGAAATAACAAATCAATTACCAGACCTAAACAACTCCAAATGCTGGATTACATAAAATTAACATCAAACTTCTTACTTTACTCGGAAATCAGGAACCTCAGGCATATCAGGATCAAGATCCAAACGACTGCATCTACCAACCGATTGGATAACCATATGTCCTGAATTAATACGTTACATCGAACTTATTAAATTATCAGAATTATAGAGCTTAAAACATTTTACGGGAGCTATACAGACAAACGGCCGTTACAAATAAGCAAAACATAAATTAGATACATACCGGAAACTTTATAGATTCCCCACCACCGCAAAACACAAACAACCCGCGAACTCCTAGTCCTTTTCCACTCATCGTGAAAATGCTCAGCAAGATCTCCGATAGCAACACACGGCAGTACATAATTCCTACAACAAACAAATGTAAAGATTAGCCCCTCTATACACGTAGCAATGTTACGAATATAGGTAAAATTAATAAGTCTCACTTTGCGTCCTTAATTTTGAAAGACGTCATCGCATAACCAGCGCTTCGTTTACTTGGGTCAGAGTATTTTATGTCGTCGATATCAACCACATACCCAATCAAATCTAGTGGTAAAAAGAGAGAAGAAAAATAAAAATTAAAAAGCAGAATACATGAACAAAATCAAAGAATATTATATATACTTACTTATCAGGTAAGTTCTTATGAGTTTATCATCCAAAACGTCAAGGAAAGAGGATGGATATAGTGCATAGTGAAGATCGTCTTTGTCAGGTATCAGATTCAAAATTGTCGAAGGAAGAAAATTGATCCGATAATCATGACGCGTAGTTCTCATATCCCCAGTTACCAAATCTAATTCGAAATGATGAAGAGCTATCCAGTCACCATCTTTGAACTCGGAATCATACTCAGTAATGAGTTCGGAATTGATTTTAGCCTCAATCATAGAACCCTATGATAAAAACAGAACGCCAAATGTATATAAGAACATAACATCAACATACGATAAACATCAATAATCTTAAACAAACGCTATTACCCTTTTATCACACAAAATCATGCGTAAAGTTCGATAACCGGCTTCAGATCTCTCACGCCATTTGTTAAGAACCTTAGCTTGGATAGACCAACAAAGCTTAATCGGTTTTAAATCGTCGACATGCTCATCCATTTTTTTTTTTAGTGACTGAGATTTTTTTCATGTGCTGCAAATTTAAACCAAAAAATTCCCAATTATATAAAGACAAGAACGTTTTTTTAAAAATACATATTTTCAAATTAAAACGCAAGCACAATTACATTGTTTATTTATCGTTACAATGCATTGCATCGGAAAAACCACAAAAACTGATAAAGACATTATCGAGATACGCATAGATTTGACCATGCATAGAAATACAAGACCTATCGAGTACCATCAATCCAAACTAACAGGGCATCTTTTAGCCTGCAAAGAATCAGACAATAATTTCACATAGACCAATTCCACCACTACGGGGCACTTCGTTTAGTCATGATTTGTCTATTGATATATTAGGTGTTTATTCGTTTAGTTCATGATTTGTCTATTTATATATTCCGTATAAATCCGATCAAAACAAAAATATACTATTTTTAAATTATGCCCGTTTCACGAATATTGCATCTTCTATATATGTAGTTATCTAAAAGATAATATTCGGATGTAATTTTAAATGTCAAATTTTTCCGAAGACACAACATAAAAACAATTAATTGGTATGTATATTTTACGCTCACTGGATATTTAGACAATAAGCACATATATATAAAATCGATTAAATAGTCAAGGAATAAGATGCAAACCGTGATATTTTAAAAAAACTCAATTGTCGAATAACAGATATCTTTGAATCAGAAAAAAAAAAAAAAAAAAACAAAAACAAAACACCAACTAAGTATTATAAGAAATCAAGGGTTCAAAATAGTTTTCTCTCCACAGAAGCAAAAGCAAGACGCATACTCGAAGCTTCATCACACGAAGGATTGAATAAAAGTTCTGTGCAGGTACACAGAGTAGTAGCCCTCATATGACCTAATATATCAATAGACAAATCATGACTAAACGAATAAACACGTACACAATGTATTAGTGTTTAAATAAGTACCTCGAGAAAGCTCTAGTCTAGCAAACCGCATCACACACAGATGATGTTATCAGCACAAGTCTTCAGACCAGAAAAAAATTTCGTGGCATACCTCTTCGGCAAGCGACAGCGAATACGAATACCCCTGGTATATTTAACGCATTATAATCAACTACACAAAATCCCCTCACACCCAAGATATATAAACCAAGTTTAGAACTCACCTAACATTCTCTAACTCCAAATATATCTGCTCCCACGTACTATTCAATCCCTCATCCTCGTCATAATTTCCAACACACATGAGACGACCAATCAAATCTACACAAAACAAACGACGACAATATCACGTTCACATGCAATATTTACTGAACATACCAAACAAAAGAGCTAAACTTACCAACACAAACACATGGATCGACTAAACCAGCAAGAACATCTTCAAAACGTACAAACTTAAAATAGTCAACAGAAGCAGTAACCACAGTTCTCTTAAAAGAAGTCGATAGATTCCAAAGAATTTTATAGGCATGCCTAGTTGGCCTAACAGACCCAACAGCGTCGACCAAGCCAAAATCTTTTATAAATATCCACGTTCCTTCGACAAGTCTACTCGAATCATAAGCCAAACAATCCAAACCAATTGAAGCTTGTATCCTGTCACCCTAGAAACAACCGAAGGAACGGTTAAAAAAATCAAAACTAAGATAAAACATGTCGTAACGAATCAGAATCGTTTATAGATTTTGCATGCTTTTAATATATAGCCTCGAGGTACCTTTTCATCGGCTAGTATTAGCTCCAACGTGTCCAAACGTGAAGAGCAACGAAATCTTCTAATTATTATGAATCTTCCCATCATTCTTTCATTCATAGAAGGAATTAGATCAGATACACAGATGGAACTTCGGGGACGAGCCATCTGAAGGCAAGGAAACACTTTAGTATAACAGAACCAACCGCAAAACTATGTATATATATATATATATATATATATAAAACAAAACGAATTCCCATCGTTAAATTTGGTAGATATTGTTCGGAAAGATACAATAAGATATAAACTTATCACAGCAAAGGAATATTAACATTTAACAATAGAATAAAATATTTTTTTATTAAACAAAATAGATATTTCCATTAACTTTTCTATAACATTGCCAAACGAAAAACAGAAAATTTACATCCACAATAGAACGACATTATATTTGATCAAAATTTAAGCTTATCTTAAGAATATTTTATAATTTTTGTAGTTGACAATCGGAAAGATACAATAAGATATAAACTTATCAAAACGAAGGTATGTTAACATATAACTATTTAATCAAAAAATACCATAGAGGAATATATATATATTCCGATCAACTAATTTTATAGATAATTGCCAAATGAAAAAATATAAAATTTACATTCACAATGGAAACCCTATATATAAAGTTTAATATTATCTAAAATATTTTATATTTAAATGTTATCGATTTTATATTTTAAGGAGCCCTATATATAACACCACGTCGGCGTGACATCTAACCTAAACCTATAGCATCTTTATATATATAACAAAACCTATACATCAAATCATAAGGCACCGAATCATGGGTGATAATCACGACGAAGATCAAGTGTTCAAGGCATGGTTGAATCTAAATAAAATCAACTCGATGGCTAGACAATTAACATTCAACGAAATACCAAATCATTTCACGTGGGATAGGACCAAAAAACAATTTAGGCCAAGGAAAAGAGGACCCCCCAGAGGAGGAGTAATGTATGTTTCGCGTAAGATTAACAACAATCGTCACTTGAAAAGGCTCGCAGGAATGTTAAGAGGACCTACATGTGACGAAGAAGTCAGGACTCACGGAGGTATTGTTTATCCAACATACGAAGAAGCTTGTCGGGCACATGGGATATTAGAAGAGTGAAGAAACAACTATTATTACGAATCTATGTATCTCTATATAAAGTTTATTATTATAATATATAAAACATTTTATATGAATTATGGACTTCTTTTTTGGTATTTGTTTACATGCGGAGAGTCCAGTCATACTTGCAAGAATTTAACCGCGACATGTCATGAAATAAGTTTATCCTCGCCATAATATAGACACCGTGAAGCGTAATATCTATCGACGCAACAATTTATACTATTTTGAGTTCGAAAGCAAATAGTAATTAGGGCTACTTTATAATGGCAATCTCTTTTTTGGAAAGATCAAAACAAAGTAAGCTTACATTTTAGATATATTCAACTTTTAACATATTTTAACGAAATCCGAATTAAAAAGGAAAATATTACATATATCTCTATAATCATACCAAACTTATATTGAAAATAAATTTATAACAATAATATTGATCATAAATATCATATTAAGGACGTCATTATATGGTTATAACTTTCATTTACGATATAATCCCACATCGGGACGGTTGACTAAAATAAATCATTTACGTTTAGATATAAAATGGCAACATAAAATATATAAATTGCGTCACTTGAATATTTAAAATCTTGGCATTTCTGCCTACAAAACTTGTATAATAATAAAAACCAAGTAAAAATTAAAACACATGCAAGTATCAATGCATAAAAAATAAAACCAGCACATTAGCTCCGTAACCAATACTATCAGCGGTTCTCACTTACGGGTAAAGAACCTCCGCATCACCAAAAACTCAGGACATTCATGATCGAAGAAGAATTGAGTGCACGTGCAAGCTGTAGTAGCAGTAACGTTGCCTAGAAAATAAAATAACTCGAGTTTAAAACAAACAGAGAAAACTATATAAATATTATTTGTAACAATGCAATGGTAGGACCTTTGACGACTTCCAATTTAGCGAATCTGACGATGAGAATTTGGAAATCACCAATCCATTTCTTCCGTTCATTCATAAACGAATCAACAAAGACATCCGGCAATCGGAAAATTAGACGTACACCACTTAAGCACGAAAAAGAAAATGAGTCACAGCCGTTCCGTTTTCATATTATTATAAAGAATTTAATTCATACCTTCGGTCTTTCATCTGAAAAAAAAAGCGATGGTTAACACGATTCGACTCCGATCGTCGAAAATCAAAAGTAACCAGAAGGCGCCCAATCAAATCTGTGCGTTTCAATATACAGATGGTGATAAACAATCTAAATTAAAAATACTTTAAACGATGTAACGCACAACACTTACCAACACAGAAGCAAGGATTTAGGTGTCCTTCTTTGATATCACTAAACTTCGCGAAATGGAAATTATCACTTTGAGAGAAAGGCCTTATTAAATTGACCGAAGTGAGAGCGTTTGAACCAAGTCGAAATCTATGCGAAGACGGTCTAAACCTTCCGAGAGCCATTCGTACAACAAAGTCGGATAAAGTTATGCAATTGCCTTCTATGAGGATAGATGAGAACCGTTGCGCGACGTCCCCACCAATTACAGCATGTATCTTTTGACCCTAATGAAACAAATAAAGGACTAATTAGGATACATACAGTATAAACGTTTTGATGATAGCATATAATTATGTACCTTTGGATCTTCCAGTACGAAATCCACGAACCTAGCGCCATACGCAGGACACACAAACCTCCTAATAATTCTCACCTTAACCCTCATATTAACCATGCCGGGGACTAAATCAGCAAAATCAACACAAACATCCGGTTGGTCTACGTCACTTGTGATATCGTGTGAGGAATTTTGAGACATTTTACGACTGAAGAAACAGAGAGAATGCTATCTAATCGATCAAGAGGTGATCGTTTAGGGGACACGCGCACCTTTATTTATACCCAAATAAGGAGGTTAATAATTAATAAATAATGTCAGGGATATTCATTGGTCTCACGGTCTACGCAAATTAACATTATATTTAAAAAATGCCATAACAGTATCTTATAAAATTGGAATTTTACCTAATTAGATTCAAACGAATACAATAAATTCGATATAATATCCTTTTATGCTATCAGAATATATTGCTCACCATGGAAACGCTAGATACCCACACGATATTGTCGCTGGACAAAACTGCTATTTTACCATTATGTAAATCGTATAAAGTTAAGGTTTATCGAAACAGTTGATTTGTTACTATCACATTTTTTAAAAAGGTAATTTATTTTTCCGCATAAATTGATATTGTTAATATCCCTAATATTATATTTTCATCGGCCTAAACAATCTTATATTTTATTTTAAAAATCTCATAACAGTATCTTATAATATAGAAATTTAACTTTATTGGATTAATCAGAATATAATAGATTCGATATTCTATCTTTTTCTGTTATAAGAATATATTGCTTACCGTAGGAATGCTAGATTCCAAAACAACATCGTCGCTAGGCAATATTGCTGTTGTACTATAATGTCAATCGTATAAAGTTAAGGTTTATCGAAATCGTTGATTTGTTACTATCCCATTTTTTAAAAAATGCGAATAGAAACAATACACCATACTCTGAATTACGCAAATCAAATAAGATTTCAAAACATCCTCCGGAGGAGCCGACTAAAGGAACAAAATATAATTCACTCACGTTCTCGACCTTACCAACAACATCTATAAAAAGAACAAAAGAAGGTAAGCAAATAAAAAGTAAGTGGTACACCATTATTAACCCAAAAAAAAAATACAAATCTTACCACGAACACTATATAAATTTTGAATTAGTCATATATATTTGCATCTTCCAAATCCATTTTATTAGGACCACATGCGTGATAACGGGCCGAAAAGAGAGAGAGAAAGAGAAACCAATTCACTAACTAACTTTATGATAAAGTATAACGATTAATTTGTTTGCATAAAAGAATACACCAACTACTAACATTAAGAACTTAAACCAAATCGTTCGAATAAAATGCCAAAGCCAGAATAAGAAATCATTAGTGATAAATGTGAAGCCAAAAGCATACAAAATCCAATTTGAAAACTAATCGTCCGCTTCCCCTCTATCGTAAAACACATCCCTCATTCTTGTAACTTCAACACATCGATAATTTAGCAAAATCCTGGTACATGTGTATACAGTGGTAGCTCTCCAGAAATCTAATAACCAAACAAAGAATAAACAAAAAAACAATAACGCATTAAATAAATTGAACACAAATAAATAATATATTTAAATCCAACACACGACAGAAAAATAAAAATCACATGCAGAAAATGTCAATCGAATTACCTCGAGTAACTTCTAGCCTCGCAAACCTCAATACACATATGATGATGTTATCAAGACAATTCCTCCATTCGTTAAAGAACGCATTCGAGTATTCATTTGGTAAACGACACTGCAGACGCTCACCCCTTGAGACCACAGTGATATAAATATTTTTTTATTAATATATATAAATAAATATATTCACAACAAAACGCAAGATAACAGTAAAAAAAACATTTAACAACAAAGAAACTCACTCTTCGTTTTCCAGTTCCAAAAATAACTCGTTCCAATCAGAAGCAGGTGGGCCGGACTCTCTTCCATTACCAACCCTCACGACACGTCCAATTAGATCTACATATAAAATTGCACACGATAATATTAAAACAAAAAGCAAAATAATCTCCTACATCAACACATGATAAAATATTATCAATTACACTAAACACATTAACAATAAGAAAATTTGATATTACCAACACATAAAGTAGGGTCCAAAGAACCACTTTTGATATCCTCGAAAGCGACAAACGAAAAGAAATCACCGGAACACAATGGTCGAATGTCCTTAATCGTTGTGCCTGAATTCCATACAATCTTAAAACGATGGGGAACCGGTCTAAAAGCTCCTGTAACAGGAACCAAATCAAAATTAGTTATACTTATCCAATTGCCCTCAACAATTTTCGAGGTGCGACGATCCTCATACTCCTTGTTTATTACAGCATGAATCTTTTGACCCTAAGACGGAAAAAGGAAAAAAGGCATGTCAATCGATAAATTATAGATTACCAGAAAATTACGAAGAAACATTAGATTGGATACAAATTGAGACAAAGCCCAATATACATTAGTTTACCTTTTCATCCACCAATATTAGTTCCAACGTCTCATACAAATAAAACTTTCTTAGTATTTTAACTTTAATCTTCCACTCATGAACAAAGGGATTCAAATCAGAAACACTAAAAAAACATTCTCTTTTACGAATCGAGTTCCTGATGGCATTAGAGAGAAGATGAGCCATAATAGAAACAAATTTTGCGGAATAAAGAAAAGTGCGAGAATATTATTTATTATACATATATATATATATATACCAAGTATAATATATATAGGCGAGTATTTAGTTTAGGAAGATTCACAAATATAAAATATAGAAATTGAACAATATCAACATACTAAATAAAACAATTTACTTTTTTTTTGATCAAAACAATTTACTTATGATAAGATAAATCTCCACTAAAACAGAATATATCATAAATAAAATCTTCACTAAAACGGAAATCTATCAAATACTATCGAAAATAAATTCAACCTTTTATCTATATATACTTTTTTAAAATATATACATATATATAATCTATCTATATATATGACCGTTTAAATCTAGCGAATATGATTGAAACTAATTACAAAACATACCATCATTCATAAAAACAGAAGATTATCATATGTCAATACGATATATATCAATACCGCATAAAGGAGAACATTATCCTGAGTTCATATTCATACAAACCAAGATGATCGGAGTACAAAACCAAAAACAACCAGTTAACATTTCCGATATACACAAAAGAGTCACACAGGCAACGTCCAGACGAATCACACTACACATCCACCATTAATGTCCTAGTTCGAATCACTTGTCACACCAACACATGAGGACCTAAGACAAAGCAGCAAAACAAAAAATCAGATACAAAAACAAAAAATAAAAAATAAAATAATAATGAATATAGGAAATGAATACCGACATAGTGCAAAATTCAGCAGCCTCAGGAACATCAGGATATGGCAAAACCTTAGAAATCAGCCCCTTGTTAACAATCCTAACATTCTTTGGTCCATCGAAATATCTGTATACCTTCCACAGACGCATAATACAGACCAAAGGCTTCGAAACACACAAGTCATAGTGCTTTCGGAACTCCATCGCTGAGCGTCCCGACACCAAACCATCGATAGCATTCCCGTTTTATATTTATTCAAGAAAACACAAACAACACAACAAAAATAAGAAATGATATAATTAACATTTAACACCAAACAGGACAATACCCAGACAAAATTCACAAAGGGAGAAAATATCTATTTACTAACCAAGGCCCACGAATCCGAAAGCTCAGTCTGAAGCCAGTGAGATCTGATGGATTTGTCCCGACATTCACCAATTCACCAACATCAGACAAAACCCCGATCAAATCTAGTTAAGAAACAGACACAACTATAATTCAGACAGGTATTTCCAAACACAACAAACAAAATGAGCATTATATATAACTTACCAATCAAGACACTCTCGTCAACCGTTCCGTCAATTATCGAACTAAACGGAGTAAAGGAGTCACGGGGTTCAACCGACGGTGGATCGGCGGGAAGAACGACAGTCGTTCCAAAGATAGACATTCTGAAAGGATGATTGGTAAGCCTGACTCTATCAGAGTTCTCAAGAACACGAAACTCCGTAAAAGAAAACCATCGATCTTCCTTCAAAAACTCAGCATAATGTTTCGCATATTCACCATTAATCCAACAATCGATCTTAAAACCCTAGACACACGACATAGTCTGTTTAGTAACTAAGACGAATTAGCATTTTAAAATCAAATCTATATAAAACAAAACCAAAGTACCTTATCATCCACCAGAACCAAACGGAGAGCATTCCTAGGATTTATGCAAACATTAATCATGCGCAGAACCTTCACTCGTATGTGCCAACCCGTAATACAAGGGCGCAAAATCGAAACATCATGGAAGTAAGCCATGGAGAAGGAAACAACTAAAATTGATCACTGGCTATAGATACTTAAATAAGAAATCTCGATAATCCGAAAAGACGAAGCAAGAAACCGAAGAGTTTTTTTTATTCTCTGGGTTTTTTTTTTTTTTGTAAGTACCAGCGTGAATTAATGAGTGGAATTGGAAGTATATTACAACTAATCTAGAAATTAATATAATGTAGCATCGATTACTGAATAATCAATAATTAAATAAAAATATTTTTATCCGTTCAGAAGATTTGATGATTGGAAACAGCAAATATCCATATTTCGGCTGTGCAATTATTACAAACCATGCAAGATATGACAACACAAGTCATACATCAAAAATCTGACATAATCTCTACCACAAGCTAATATACAATATAAAATAATTAGAAAATCTATAAAGTAGTTTAGATAACTTCAACGAATCTAAAGATAACGACATATTTAAAACTCGAACACAAAAGATAATTGTTATAAAGCCCAAATAAATATCTCAACATGACATATAATAACATAACACAAGAAGAAGAGATTTTTACAAAAAGAAATTAAACCAACAGAAGAGAGTATCCATGTTTATGCACACTACGGAAATAGGGATATAATTCTTGATTTACACCAAGAACATTAAAAATTCTGATCAATAACTTCACCGGCGTCATCACAATCCTCACCTTCTTCAATAGCCCATGTTACCCTAGCTATAAAAACAGACCTGAGAATAAAATTTATCAAATTAAACAAAATAATAAATTTGAACCCATAACAAAACCAAACTACATATATAAACACTAAAAAATCACAATAATCATTTACATCATCCTCAAGTCCTTGATCTCCGGTAATGTTGGCTCAAGATATATCTTAGAACAACCAATTCTGGTGGAGATAGAAGGTTCACCTATAGCCACATCAACACAATTTGAATAAGCCTTTTATATATACTATCTATAATATATTCGACACCAATACACCAAATGCATACCCATGAACTCATCGACTTTCCAGAAACGCAACACACAGAAAACAGGTTGATAACGGAATGAAGCCTGGTAGCCTCGGCTTGTCCACACATTCATAAAATCAGCAGCATAATGACCAAGCGCAAAACATGGCATCTCCCTACCTCTGTTTTATTAATCACCGTTTCAAAAAACTTAAGATCAGTGACAGTCTTTAAATAAACTCTACATAATCACAAACAAAACCAAGAATAACCATGGACTAAATATAGCACCAACACAAAATCAAATTCATAGACTTACTTCTGATCCATGAGGCGGAAATATAGATAATTGCATGCAGTACTTGCATCATACTCTCCGGGAACATAAGTCATCCTTTTAATTTCGGACACATAGACCACTACTCCACATAAATCTAGCAAACTCACAAAAAGAACACATATCACTACAAATCATACCAATAGAGACATAAGAGGTTTCTAACAACACAGAACATCTAACAAATAAAAAACTAAAGATACTTCAAACATTAATAGAAACCAAAAATGAGATTAGCTAATAAAAAGAATGTGACACACCAAAGGGACGATTTGCCTCCAAAAGCCTCCTCTTAATGACAGAATATTTTGCAAACACCAAAAAATTGAGCGAGGATAGATTATAAATCAATGTCATCTTTGTATCACTGTGGAACTTGATATGGAAAGGGTGAAGTGTGTTCGGGGTCCTCCGGATCGGAACAGAAACAACAAAGTCAGAAATAGTATACCACGCATCTTCCCTTAACTCCCTCATATCAACGTTATGGAAAGGACCACAACCGATTGTACCCTCAATTTTTGTCCCCTAGGTACATGCAAATCAACAAAAATCAAATATTTCTTAACACAACTAAACAACAAATCACAAACCAAAGACAAATATTCCTTAAAGATTTATAATAAAATAAGCAAAACTATCAAATAATCTAGTAGATCCACCCAAAATCAACAAACCAACCGATAAAAAGAAAAAACGACAAAGACACACGCACCTACTCGTCGGCAAGAAGCATTTCTGTTTTACACCTAAATCCGTAGAGGCGAACCCTCCAAAGACTCAGAATCTTCACCCGAACGTACTTAACCGTCCTACCTCGAGCAAGATTCGAAAGGTAAATTTGCTCGGACATCTTTGAACGAAATCACCGCCCAAGACCCTCAATTTTCTTTCAGGAATCAGAGAGAGATAGAAAACCTCGAAATAAATGAACCAATTGTATACAGTGCACATACATGGTGGAAATTGAACTAAGCAGTCATAGCTACAAATTTTTAAATTTAAAAATATCTTTTTCCTAATAACTATTTAAAACATAAGAATAGCAACAAAATAATATTAATAACTATGTGAATCTCTAGATTATACACAAAACAAAACTCACAACATATTAAGATAGATAACACCAATAAGAATAATTAGAACCATCGCTAGTATTATATAATGAGTTAGATCGACATAAATTTTAAAAACAGAATATTAATCATTAACTAAATAAAATATATAGAAGCCAAAATAAATAGCAACAAACTCAAATAAAATAATTACTCATCATCAGAGTCTTCAAAGATAGGCCCCGATCCAAAATTTGGTACGGTTTGATCAATACCAAACACCAAAGGGTATGATCCGTATTTATCAACAGATACATCACTACCCTCAGCAATATAACTAAACAACAAATAGATACTGTTGTAACTCATAGCTTTGCTTCCAATCTCAGTCCTCTACATCAAAAAAAAAAAAAAAAAACCCAAAAAATCAATAGACAATAGAAAACAAACAAATAATTTAGAAAACACGAAGACATATATAATAATAGGACATAGGATCTAACAAATACGTAAACCACACACAACATACCTCTTTCAAAATATTCGGTCGTAATGAATACTTCAGCCCACTCAAAACCTTTACAAACAAACGAAACAATTAAAATCATACCTTATAGAATGGTAAGATATTATGATGTCCATATATGCAAGTCATGACACATAAGACAATAAGAGAATAAACATACATGCTTATAAAAGCCCACGCGATCCGTAAAACACGACGGAGCAACAAATCTTCTACGCCAATTCCGTGTGGTCTAAAACATCAGAGAAACAATTATATAAAGTAAACATAAAACGATTATTACGTTACATAATAAATACACAATATTCGACAAAATACCTTATTAAAATAAAACATATCATTCGTGCATCTTCGGGAGGAGGAAGCACCAGCGGTTACCTAAGCCAACGGTACGAAATAAGAATAAACCGTAACATTTGATTATCGCGAAATATATATACAAAAAACAAAAGCCAAATCATCATTTAAAGGTTAGAAAATTAATATCAAACTAAAACCGATCCACAATAACCAACATATTAGATACAAATAAGAGAAATACCTGTTTCCAATAAACCGACACAAACCGAGATATGAGTTCATCGAGTACCTTCAAAATCACGGTAAGATGAAAATCAAACAATAACATGTCAAACCTTACACATAAACTCAAAACTATTTGACAATTTAATTATAAATCAATACTAAACAATAAAACGCAATAAAATCGCATATAAAAATATATACGATAACAGGAAGAAACACATAAATTTATATAGGCAAATAAATATAAAAATATACAAATCAAAACTATGGAAATACCTTCCCAAACCTCGTTCTTTGATCGTCAACACCACCTTCGTCGGAGAGCTTTGTCGATGGAACCTCCCACGTTATACAAAACTGAAACACACACCAAAAACACCAAATCAGCAAAACAATAAAGCATCGAATAATGCAAAAAAAATAAAACAAACAACACAAACAATATGCACACGACCTTTAAAGGTCCATGAAAACAATATTTGCATGACAAACAACTCGATTCATCAGAATCGTAGTAGCTATATAAAAAAACCATAACGGTGAAAACTATCTAATGGCCACAGAAAAAATAATACCTAATCCTCTGGCCGATCAACAATATATATAGCTTTAAGATTAGGGCAAACATCAATCATTATCTTAAGAAATTTAACTTTTTAATTAGAAACAAAATCAGAAAACTAACAAAAACGAATATTAACTACTAAGATATAGAATTATCCAAAAAATTAACAAATAAATTTAAGCTAAGATTCCATAATCGTTAAAGTCGAGACATTATGACATCCGTATCCCCAACGATTACACTATAAAATAAAAAAATTTAAGGGTGATTAAGACTAATCATCACAAAACACGATTAGACTTATATACCCTTAACAATTACGAACAAAAAATTTCGAATTAAGGGTGTTTAGGACATTATTATAGAGATCAACACACGATTAGACTTATATACCCCTAATTACGAAGAAGGAGAAATTTCGAGAAGAACAATTCATTAAGGGTGTTTAGGACAAATCATTCTAACTTTTAACCACAGGCCTCCAATGCCCTAACTTTCAATATGGTGCGTTTCTACTTCTCAAATAATTATTGTAGAGATTACGCTCTTTTATTATACATATATATGAAAACCGAAACTTGTTGAGAGAAACGAATATTAGGTCATCGACCTAACATATATATGTAATAAAAAAAAGCGTATTTGACTCTTGAAAAAGTATTAGTCTTTTCTGAATTGGTCCAACTTAGTTTTAATGATTCTATATATTTGTGTGGAACAAAGAAATGAACATGTGTTTGACCAAAACAGAAAATGAACACGTAACGTGAGTTCATTTATCTATATATAGATGCATGAATTCACATCTTCAAATTGATACGTTTAAATCAACCAAAAATATGTACAAACTCACGGTTTGCATACTAATTTTGAGTTTTCTTTTGTTCTCTGGATTATCAAATACGGTATTAGCCCGAGTACGATATGAATCTCCAAGCCAAAGTAAGTGTTTTTTTTCCTTCTTCTTTTTAAGCAATTTTAGATATGTTCGATACAATTTGGGTTTGGTTGTAGTTCAAAATTTAAAATGCAAACCAATATATTCTTCAATTTTGTTCATACGTTGATCTATTGGTTTTGGTTCTATGTTTCACAATTTGATTTTTGTTTTATTCCTCTTTTTCAAAATTGATTAGCTAATAGTTACGTTGATTTCTTTTTAGGGAAGGAAATAGGAAAAGAAGTTTGGGATCAAACACTCTTTAGCGAGATCAAGATTGGTGCAGCTGGCAGTAATTCAGGGAGAGCTCCTTCATGTAATAATAGTTGTAAACCCAACCGGCCTTAATAAATAAAAAAACAAATCTTTGTTGTAACATATTAAGATATGGATCTTGTCTTTTCATGATTGATCGCAATAACTAACACTTAATACCACTTGTGCAAATGTGCGTTGGCATATACCACTTGACACTTCACGACCACTCCAAGAGAAATAACAAACACAGACACTCGCGAGTTTTACGAGTTTCTCCGAAATTTTTGATGATCTTGAGCATCTTGTGGTTGTATTTTCAGCAAGCAATCCATTAGAATCTTTAGGAGTTACAAGTGATAGTTTTGTTGGAAGAATCAAGATCTAGAGAGAGAAACAAATATATATAATGAATGAAGTTGCAAATACTTTAAATTTGTCAACTGATCGAGCTGGTTGGACCGCGTTTTCTAATTTTTATATATTTTTAGGATAAAAATAAGGGAGAATAACTAGAATGACCCTTATATGGGGATTAATAACTAGAATGACTCATATCTTTTAATAATAACTAGAGTGTTTTCGTTTTTTTTAATCCCCAAAATACCCCTATAAAGCTTTGTAGAGAAAATCATAATAACAGAAATGCCATTAAAAAAAAAATGTCAGCGAGGCAAAAGTTGCCGTTATTTACAGAAAAACCTGTCATTATTTACAGTTTAGCCACTAATCTCTGCGAATTCAAATAAATCTGTAGAAAAAAACTGCCACCGATTTATAAAATCTGCCACAGATTTCATAAATCTGCCACCGATTTATAAATCTGTCACTGATTTAATTGTATCGTGCTTTGTTATCTTGCCGATTTGTTTTTGAACCACAGATTTGTTCTACAGATTTATTTCCACCACAGATTTTGTATACAGATTTATTCATAGGTTACTACCGATTTATAGGCTATTACAGATTTTTTGTCTACCACAGACTTGTCTTACAGATTTTCTTTGATGACATCGCAGATTTTCTAGGCTTCGCAGATTTATTTCTACAGATTTGTTTTTCTTACAGACTTATTGTCAATCACGTTTATGCAGACTTATTAATAGTACCTACCGACTTATGTTAAGTCTGTACGTTGCTGCAGATTTGTTACTGCAAAAGATAATAACTAGACTGACTCTTAGTGATCACAGAGTTTTACCTCTTGACGGCAGATATATTATGAATCACAGATTTATTTTCCATCATCGCAGATATGTGTCGTAGTTGTAGCAGACTTAATCTAAACTAAACTACCTTTTTAGTTGTCACAGACTTATATTCTACATATTTGTTATTACACTTTGACCGCATATATAGTTTTACAGACTTATTTGAAGACGCCACAAATTTGTTTCTTTGATGGCAGATATATTATGAGTCACAGATTTATTTTCCATCATGACAGATATATTTGAAGAAGTGATCGCAGACTTAATCATGATTAAACTAACTTTTTAGTAGTCACAGACTTAAACCTTACAGATTTGTTGACACCCTTTACTTGCAGATTTATGTTCACATACTTATTCGAAGACATCGCAGATTTGTTTGATAGGTAAAATTATTATTTTCTAACACTGAACTCATATTTGCGGTAGCTAAAACATACAAATAAACCAATAATTAACCGTTGTAATCATAATCCCACCGTTGCATTTTTAGACAGTAGCACCATGAAATAATTACCTCACAAACATACATCTTAGAATAAATCTGTGACCACTTAAAATAAATATGCGAAAGACAATAATTAATCTGCGATAAGCCTGAAACCAAAATGCTTATGTAAATAAAACAAATCTGTCATTAAAAGCAAACAAATCCGTCACCACCATAAACTAATTTGTTCTCATTAGTACTATGTCATCACTACCAAATAAATCTGTCATCAATAATAAATAAATCTGCGACCACTAGAAACTAATCTGTCATCATTGAAAAATTTGTAGTAATAGAAAGCTGAAACCAAACAAAACAAAGGAGTAATACTAATTGAATCACGCAACCATCTGAACTAGCGATTAGGCCACTGATTCCTAAGAGTAATAGTCTCCTTGTAGAACATCACATCTGAGAATCAGTGAGAGACAAATCGAAAAATCTCTAAAACGGGAAGCCAAAGAGACAAGAGAAAATAATAGAATTCACTGTAGATTCACCGGAGAAGAGGATTCGCCGGAGAAGATAACTCGACGAAGACACAAAATCCGTCGTCGAAGAAGAAGAGAGGACGACTTGCCGGAGAAGACGACTCCACGAAGACACAAAATCCGGCAACGAAGAAGAAGGGAGGCCTCACCGGAGAAGATGATTTGCCGAAGACACGTTCACCGGAGAAGAGACGTCGTGGGATTTTTCTCCCTTTTAAGGTTTTGCTCCAAGAAGAGAGAAAGTTAATCTCTGTGAAAATTATGTTTGTCGTTTGGGTTTTGATTTTATGGTTTTTATTATTTATTAATCAAATTAAAATGGCAATTTCGTTAATATAAAATAAAAACAGATTAGAAAGTCTTTTTACAAAAGATGTGAGTCATTTTAGTTATCCCTTTCAAAACAGAGTCATTCTAGTTATTTCATACAATATATGGGTCATTCTGAGTAATTTTCACTAAAAATAATGGACAATTAACCTACTGAAAAGATATTACAAACACAACAAAATGAGAAGTCAACAAAAATATATGTTGGATCCAAATCTATAGAAAATAAATGGTAAAATATTAAACAAAACTTGCTTTCGAGAACGCAACATGAAAATAATCGTCGGATACGTTATTTGTTGTTCACATAATCATAAAGCAAAAAAAAAAAATGCACAATGAAGAAAATGATAGAAAATTTACAAATTTTAATCCATATTAAATACACAATATGGTTTTCACAACTAGAATTGGACAATACAAATAGTTTATAAAATTAAAAGATGTTGAATTTGAATTGTAATTTTAACTAAACTTAAAATTCTGAAGTAATCAAAACTGGCCTTTAATATTGTGAATCGAGTTTTGATATCGAACCCAATAACTAGGTTTAACTGTTTTTAGTTGGTTTTAGAGGTTCAACCCAAATTTGATTTTTGCCTCAACTGGATTTAGATATATGGACGATTCCTAGTGTACAGGTCGGTCCGATATGGTTTCAAAACATTCATTATAAGTGTGTGTTTGTCTATTGTAAGCCGTTTGGGATATCTTGTTTATGTACTGATCAAGTTTTCATAATAAAAATAATGATCACTTAGCAAAAAGAAAATTTGGTTTCATCACATGTCTTTTATTCAATTCACTACTATAAGAAAATATTTGATTTTCTACGACCAATATCGTAAAAAAAAATGGTAGGAAAGAGTTTTCCTACGAAATTTGTTCGTAGGGAATATTCTGTAGAAAATCGAGAGTGATTTTTTCTCTGAAATAAATTGGTAAAAAAGCGGAAGAAATTTTTTGACCAATTTCCTACCAAAATTTTGGTAGGATTTATTTAGCTATCTTTTCTTGTAGTGCAAGTCTTATATTTTATAACAATTTGCATTCACATTTAAGTCATTCAAGTCTTATTACAAACAAAATAATTTGGGTTGACATGGTATTATAGATAATTTGTCCTTTATGTTCAAGTGGGATCTTATATATTTGTCCAATCCTCTTGAAGCCGAGTTTTCCAAATAATTGTTTAGTATTTTATTCAATAATAAAAGCTTTTGCTTTTAAATTATGCTCACTTAAATTAACTTAGAACATGTACTTTGTTCTCCACAATAAATTATGCTCACTTAAACTTAGAACATGTACTTTGTTCTGCACAATAAAGAGAATAACTAAAATTCAGTTGGACCAATTCAAAAAAGACTATATATACATTCTCAAGAGTCAAATACGCCATTTTTATTACATATATGAAAACAAAAACTTTTGAGAGAAGAAAATAATAGTTCCTCGAACCAATCCGTGTGACCTGATTTCATTTCTAAGAAAAACAATATATATTGAAGTCACGTGTTTGACCAAAAATGATGAACACGTAACGTGAGACGTTCATTTATCTATATATAAGCACGAATATACATTTGAATCTTCATACAAAAAAAAGAGGAATATAATAAATTGAATCTGTACCTTTACATCAACTAAAAACATGTACAAAGCCGTGGTTTACGTACTAACTTTGAGTTTTCTCTTGTTCTTCGGATTACAAAACACAGCATTGGCCCGAGTACAATATGAATCTCCAAGTTCAAGTGAGTATTTTTTTTTCTCAAGCAATTTTATATATGTTCGATACGATTTAGGTTTGGTTG